GAATACAATGAAAACCCCAATAGCATTCTTTGGAAAACTTGACAAGTTGGTTCAAAGTTGCAAAGAACAAAGAACCAAGCCATTTCTAAAAAAAAAAAAAAAAAAAAAAACCAAATCAAAACAAAATAAAACAGCTGGAGGAACTTATTCAAATATCAATACTCAACAAAGCCATAAAAATATACTGTTTGATATTTGGCCCTGGGACTTAAAATAAACTGGGACTAGTAAACTCCTCAAACAAAACCCACACATACATAGGAACTTTTATACGACAGGGGTGTAGCTGCTGATAAATGGGGAATGGACAGGCCATTCAATAATGCACTTGGGATAACTGGTTATACACGTACGCTGGGTGGGGCAGTGGTATGGCGGTTAAGATGGCTGGATCCCACATGGCCAACTGCACAATTCAAGTCGCACAGCTGGTTGCTTGAGAACACACTGGTCTCATACATGTGTATATCTGTATGTACAAAATCCCAAGAGGAAGGAGAAACAGAAAAGAGATCGAGGCATGGACATTCGCCAAGGGGATGCTTTCTCATTCTTTCTCTCTTTCTGTCTCAAAGTAAACACACCTCTGGCAAAGTAAAAAATAATAATAATAAAAAGACAATCACTCTATGACACCATACTCCCTACACACATACAATTCAATATGAATTAAAACTTACTCTGGGGACCAGCAGTTAGCGTTTGGCTATGTTGCTGGACTCCCAAGTCAACTGCGGTTCGAGTCCTGGACCCGGTGGCTTAAACTCACGCTGGGCGAGTGTGTGTGCGTGCCCAAGATCCTGAGAGGAGAATGGAGGAGAAGGGATTGTGGCATGGCCATCCCCCCTGGGGGGGTGATTTCTCACTTTCTGTCTCTCTGTCCCTCTCTGTCTGGCGAGTGCACACGCCCTATAGCAAAAACCTCTCAAAACAAAACAAAAAACTTTACTCTGCTACTCTGAATGGTACGGCCACCTGGGAGGCCCAGGATTGATCGCAGACCACCTGAAAAGCCAGATACAGTAGTACCAGCTACTGAGAAGGCTGAGGCAGGAGGCTCTCAAGCTGAAGAGTAGCCTGGGCAAAATAGCAAGATCCTGTCTGACAGAACAGGGTATGGAGGCACGCACCTGTGGTTCCAGCTACTTGGAAGGCTAAAGCATATCAATGACAATAGAGAAACCCTGCCCTAAGTAAAAATAAAAATAATAATAATAATAATAATAATAATAATAATAATAATAAATGTCAATGTAAAAATATAAGGCTTTTAAACTTTTAGAATATAGGACAATATTGGGACCAGCAGTTGGCGTAATGGCTATGTTGCTGGACTCCCATGTAGTTGACCACAGTTTGAGTCCTGGACCCAGTGGCTTAACACACGCACCCTATAGCAAAAACCTCTCCAAAATAAATAAATAAATAAATAAATAAATAAATAAATAGGACAATATCTTTACTACTTCATAATTTCTTTCTTTCTTTTTGGAGATTTTCGCTATAGAGCGCGTGCACTCGCCAGACAGAGAGAGACAGAGAGACAGAAAGCGAGAAATCACCCCCCAGGGGGGATGACCACGCCGCAATCCCTTCTCCATTCTTCTCTCGGGATCTTGGGCACGCACGCACACGCCCCCAGCGTGAGTTTAAACCACCGGGTCCGGGACGCAAACCACAGTCGACTACATGGGAGTCCAGCGACATAGCCATGACACTAACTGCTGGTCCCATTACTTCATAATTTCTTAAAATATAAAAAGTACGAAACACATAGAAGAAAAAAATAAATCTGGCATTAAATTAAAAATTTTCTGCCTAAAATGTATAATACTATTCTAATCAAACATCTAGACTTAATGTCCAATTTACAGGAAGTGGACTAGAAGACACCATGAAGAACCATCAAGCCCCAGCCACAGTGGCAATCAGGAGGCCACCAGCATGTAACACTAGAGCCACAGTAGAGGCCTGGGTTGGACCCTGAGCTGACCCAAACTCCCATCATGGTTCAAATGGACTAGCAGGGATACAATTTGCCTTCCCCACCGTGAATAACTAAAACCCTATTTGAATGAATACGACAAAGTTGCTTCCACACTGGACAGCCAGTGTAGGACAGGGACTCCCGAGAGAAGGGACACAAACAAGGGACCCCTACAACTGGCCAAGCTTATTAGGATTTCCACCAGAAGTACCAGATCAGGAAAGGGAATCTGAAACCAGCCTGGGAATCTCCCTGGACAGAAGATTTAGGGAGCCACTGTAGAATTTGGAGGGCAGAGTATAAGAGAGAAGGGAGCTATGGAGGAAGCCTCCTCGAGCCTTCAGATGAACACCAATAAGTGCATGCATGTGCGGAAACTACCCACAGCTGGGAAGAACCACCAGAAAGCAACAGGAAGTACAATGTGGGGGTTCATATGGGGCTCAGAACAGTTCATGCTCTCAATAGCCAAATATACAGCTACATGATAAGGAAGAGTAGTTAGAGGGGATTATTAATACCTCAGTAGTAGACCAAAAAGCCCTAGATTGTAGGGTGTTCTGTCCTATCTCAATAAGCTTAAAATCAAGTAAAGAAATTATCAAACTGTTTCCAACTAACTTATGTTCCTGAACAAAACTCAAAATATTTAAAGGAATATAAAATGCTCTAGCACCCTTTGGACCAGCAGATTGCGTAAGAATTACATCACTGGACTCCCACATGGCCAACTGTGGATCAAGTCCCAGACCCAGAGGCTTGAAACTCACACCAGGTGCATGCGCATGTGTGCTCAGAATCCTGAGGGGAGAATGGAGGAGAAGGGATTGTGGCATGGCCATCAAAATCCTGAGGGGTGATTTCTCACTTTCTGTCTCTCTGGCAAGCACATGTGCCCTATAGCAAAAATCTCTCCTACAGAACAAAAACACACCAGGTGTGTACGCATGTGTGCCCAAAATCCTGAGGGGAGAATGGAGGAGAGGTGATTGTGGTGTGCTTGTCCCCTTTGTGGGGTGCTTTCTCACTTTCCTTCTAGCTCTCTGGTGAGTTCATGAATGCTATAGCAAAAAACCACACGAGACACGTAGGGCTAGATGGTGGCACAGCAGTAAGATGTGACGTTCCGTGAGGCAATCCCACTGGGAAGGTTCCCGGTCAAGCCTGGAGAATTCCCCGAGTATGTTGAGCAACGCTTGCCCATGATCTGAGGCAGGCTGAAGGCTGGTGGTATATCACAGCATCAGGACTGTTGGGGTGCTGTCTCTCCCTCTGTGTCCCTCTCACTCATAAAAGAAATATACAACCTATAAGAAAAAAAGACATGGGAGAGGGGCCAGCAGGTGGTGTAGTGGTTAAGGCACTATACTCCCACATGGCCAACTGCAGTTCCAGTCCTGAACCAGGTGGCTTGAAAATCATAGTGGCCATGTGTGTATCCAAAATCCCAAGAGGAGAATGAAGGAGAAGGAACTGCAGCATGGCCATTCCCCCTCGGGGATGATTTCTCATTTTCCCTCTGTTTCTGTCTCTCTGTCTCTAACAATCTAACAAGTATATGCACTCTATGGCAAAAAACAAACAAACAAACAAACAAACAAAAAACCTTAGGAAAAAAAAAAGACATGGAAGAAAAAAGAGACCCAAATGAACTTCTAAAGATTAAAAATATAATGCCTGAGGTAAGGAACATATTGGATAGAATTAAAAGATTAGGTGCTTTGGAAAAAAATATTGATGGACATATGGACACTGCAACAGAAATTAATCAACATAAAATACTGAGACAAAAAAAAAAGACTTCAAAAAAATCTAAATAGAGCATCAGTGTACTTTGAGACAATTTCAAAAAAAAAAAAAATAACACACACACACACACACACACACACACACAGAAAGATAAAAGTAATTGGAGCCCAGGAGAAGAGGGGCAGAGGGACAGAAAAACAGCTGGAAAAAAAATTTCTAAATTTGATGAAAACCATAAACCCACAGGTCACAGCAGAAGAAACACAAAAAAGACTACATCAAACACATCATAATCAACTTGCTTAAAGCCAGTGATAAACCTTAAAAGCAGACAGAAAGGGCCAGCCTATGACCTGTGGTTAAGGTCACAGCCTTAACCACGTAGCCGACCAGACAGTCCCAGTCCCAGACCTACCAGCCCAAAGACCATGCTGAGCACGTGTCCATGTGAGCCCAAAATCCCAAAAGGAGAGCGAGAGCAGTGACTGTGGTGTGACCGTGATCCATGGGGTACTTTCTCACTTACCCTCTCTCTCTGCCTCTCAGGCAAGTGCACACACCCTCTGGCGAACTGAAAACAAAAAAGGCAGACAGAAAAAAAAGACAATTTACATATAGAATGAAGATAATAATAATTGAGATAACAGTAATCTTGCTGGAAAGCACAGTCAGATCCCACTAAAAATGCATTCGATTGGCAAAATTTCAGAAGACGAAAAGTAACACATGTTGGAGATGACACAAAACAAAGGTAATCACATTGTCCTGGTGGGGAATAAATTGGCACAGCCACGTTAGCACACTATTAGGCATCATCTTGTAATGATGAAGACTCTTACAGCACACGACCTGCCAGTATCACTCCTAGGAGCACATTACTTATAATGCAAAAACAAACAAAACACAAATGTCAAAAAAAGAGAGAAACTGTGGTATGGTCACATAACACTACAGGGCAATAAAAATGAATGACTCAGGGCCAGCAGGTCAGGTATGGTGATTAAGGTGCTGGAGTCCCACATGGCCAACTGTGGTTTGAGTCCCAGACCTTGGCAGCTTGAAAATCACGCCGGGCACATGTGCGCACATGCCCAAAATCCCAGGAGGAGAATGGAGGAAAAGGGATTATGCCATGGCCATCCCCCAGAGGGGGGTAATTTCTCACTTTCCTTCTCTTTGTCTCTCTCCAGAGTACATGCACCCTGTGGCCAAAAAAAATGATAATAATAATAATAATCTAACTTGAAAGAAAGTCACAGAAGTAAACATACATTATGCCATTTATATAAAATTCAAAAATATACAAAATTAACATTTCATTTAGGGGTACATACATATGTTGTAAAACTATAATAATGAGCAAGAAAATGATGAACACAAAATTCAGAATAATAATTATTTGAGAGTGAAAGGGCATATAAGGAACTTCCAAATTATAGGTAATATTCTGCTTAAGTTTCTTAATGTGTACATAGATATTTATATTTGTTATTCCTTATACCTTATATATACATTTATGTATTTCTGTAGTATGAAATACTTCATTAAAAAAGGAAGAGTGAATATGTGAAAGACTTTAAAAATGAAACTGCCGTTTATGTATAATAAAATCAGTATAAAAAAAGTATATAAAGAAAAAGTTCAGTTCTTTATTATCTATCAATGCCCTATATGATCAATATTAATCTAAAAGGGCCATAATACTAATATGAGAAAAAATAAGTCTTTAATGGTTTTACACGAAATCTGAACACCCGCTCTCCTAGTCCTCTGACTCAGACTGCGTAACCGTGTCAGACACTCGCTTCTCATTCTTCATCTGTACTTAGATTTGTCTTTATCTTTGGATTTCTTTGGACTTCTGCTCCGGTCTCTCCTCTTACTCCTTTCTCTCTCGTAAGAATCTGTCTGGTATTTGGATTTGTGGCTATTACTGTAGTGGCCATCCCTGTCCCGAGATCGGCTACGACTTCGGTTTTGTGGTCGGTCTCGCTTCTCACTCTTTTGCTTCTCCCAGCAGCTCCCTTCTTCGTAGTGACCAAATCCCATCTCCCTGTAGATGTCCTGCCAAGGGATGGAGGAAGTGTTACAAGTAAACCAATAAAATACTTTGTGAGCACTGTCAATGAGTAAAATGTAGGAAAGCCTGCCATTAGCATGCTGTCCTGACAGCTCAAATTTGACCACTACCACTAATGCTGAGAATCTCATAATTAAAAAGCAAAAGTAATTAAGAAGAAGATTTAACCTTTCTTACCAATCTCATTGCTTTCTATCCACTATTTCAGCTAAACTAAAGGATCTGATATAAAAATCATGGAACTGAAATTAGAACAAATCTTCATTTACTTATTTTAGTTTTGCCAGAAGCTTGTGCGAACTGGGAGGGTGGACACCTCCCATGGGGAACGGTCACACTGAAACCCCTTCTCCTCCATGTCTCCCCCCCTTCTGGATTAGGGACACACACACACAGCATGCTTTTTTTAAGTTGCCAGATCTGGGCCTCAAACTGCACAGTCATGTGGAATCCAGCTGCCTTAAGTGCCAGGCCACAGGCTGGCTCAAAACAAGCCTTTAAAGCAATGTGTGCAATACCAAAAATTCTCATTATATATAGTCACATTTCCACCTCCTCCCTTCCTTCACTCTCCAAAAATGTGGTCCCATTAGTGATCTGCAATGAAACTACTAAAATTCCCATAAGAATGCTGTAAAGGAGAAGTCATTTAAATAGCATAGCAGGAAGGTCTTAGACATGTCAATCAGTCAAAAATGAAAACAGATGCACATACTCTGGTCAGGGCAGTTAATCGTGAAAGTGTTCTACTTTATATCAGCTTCTTTCCAGATCTTCACATACAAGTTTAGATGAGGCTAGCATGTTTTTGTTAAAATTACTATTTACATATTTCTTTAAATTATTTACATATTTCTTTAAAAATGAGTTAAGAAACAGAATAGTCTACTGCCTCAAAGACCAAAAAAAGGACTAATTTTTTTTTTTTTTTAATAAGGAAGAGAAAAATTGTGTGAGTAGTGGGAAGGGGAAAAGGAAGAGACTTTTTTTTTTTTTTGGATAGGGTCTGACCGCTGTGACCCTCTGCCCCAGCCTTCTGGCTGGCCAGGATTACAGACACCCTGAAGCTGGCCTGCTCCAGGTTACTCTAAAATCAGAACCTGGTCCTCCTGTGTGGCTCCAGTCTTCAGCAGGGTCCTACAACTTGCACTACCGGGGTCAAGCCAATTCTACTTTTAATAATCAATAGTGGGCCTGTCCATGGCCTGATGATTAAGTGTTGGATCCTATAGGGCTGACCATACAGTTCATGTCCCAGACCTCGCGGCTTAAAAGACATGCCAGCCACATGCGTGCATGCCCAAAAATCCTGAAAGGAGGGACAAACGGAGAAGGGAATGTGGGCCACCATTCCCCAGTAAGGGGTACTTTCTCTCTTTCTCTTTCTCATTACGTCTGTCTCTCTCTGGTGAGTCTACCCCAGCATAATTTAAAATAATAATAAATAACAGAGGTAATTTCCCCATATAAAACAGGGCTATTTAACAATAACTATTTCTGTTGTCCCCTATCCATAATCAGTACAAGTATTTTAGCGAAGAGCTGAAACAGAAAGAGACTAGATAGAGCCAATGCTCTATCAAGAGAGAGTTAGGCGTCAGCCCTGTGACCTGGTGGTTAGGGCAGCCAGATCCCACATGGCCAACTGTGTGGCACTGGAGCACCAGACCCAGTGATTTGGGAAACACGCCAGGCACGTGTGTACGTAAGCCCCAAATTCCGAAAGCAGGGAGAGAGATGGAGAAGAGACTGAAGTATGACTCTCCCACGGCTGCTGCTCTCTTCTTCCTTGCTCTCTAGAGGACAATGCACACACCCAGTAGCCAAGAAAAAGACGGTTGGTGAAAATTCACTTTCTTAAAAAACTGCTCAAATGAAAGGTAAAATTCTAAGGTTAAATCCCCAGGGGTCTAATTCTATCAACACAGACATGATTGCAGTTAATATAATGTTAAGATTTAAAGCTCAGAGTGATAATACCCATGGATAAGAACTGAGCTTTAGGCATATGATTACATACTGTATTTCACGCCTGGCATAGAATTTGCAGTATGTAGAAACAGATCCATGGTTGTTAGAATCATAACCAAAGAGTTGTGGAATACATTATAAACTGATTCATAAGTTTCTGCACAAACTCAATAGCTCTTATAATTCTGTAAGAGCCCATGAAGAAGAAAAATACAATCTCTATTGCTTTTTCATTAAATAAAAAGTTTTGTTATAGGGCATGTGTGCCTAAAGAGAGAGAGAGAAAATGAGAAAGCATCCCCTAGGGGAGATGGCCACACCACAATCCCTTCTCCTCCATTTTCCTCTCAGGATTTTGGGCACACACACGCACACACACACACACAGAGGCAATCAGCACGTTTTCCAATCCACAGGATCCAGGACTTGAACTGCACAGTAAGCTATGTAGGATCAAGCAGCCTTAACCACCAATCCACCAGCTGGCCCTATTTAAAATTTAAAGCTTATTTATTTCTTCTATGAGAAAAAGACATGAGAGAGAGAAAGGCAACTCCCACAGGGTCAGTGCTACAACACCCCCAGCCGTAACCAGCCTACATCACAAGAACACACGGGCACCTCAGTTTGCAGAGACCTAAGGTCACAAACCCAGGACTTCGCCAGGGTCCAACATCACAGAACATGATGCCACCACTCTGCCACCAGCTGGTCCCACAATAAATACTGTGGTGTGGCCCTTTGCCGATTTTTTCTAGCAAAATATGACATTCCTAGATAAGAGTTCTGGGGGCTTCCTGTAACATGCACAAAACATAAATATTGCTACATTACGATGTATTCTATCTGTATACTTAGTATTTATTTCTGTACTGGTTGAGTCAATTTGCTTTTTTTTTTTTTTTTTTGGAGAGATTTTTACTATAGGGCGCGTGCGCTCGCCAGACAGAGAGAGAGAGACATAGAGACAGAAAGCGAGAAATCACCCCCCGGGGGGATGGTCATGCTGCAATCCCTTCTCCTCCATTCTCCTCTCGGGATCTTGGGCACTCATGCACACGCGCCCGGCGTGAGTTTTAAGCCACCGGGTCCAGGATGCGAACCGCGGTCGACTACATGAGAGTCCAGCGACATAGCCATTACGGTAACTGCTGGTTCCCTCAATTTGCTTTTGAAATGCAGAGACTGTCAGCTTAACTCCATAAAGTCCTCAGCACATACAAATAGGCACTTAAATGCTTTCAGTGTTATAAGTTAAAAAAAAAAATACAGGTTTTGTAGTATGCATTCTTTGAATAAAGTGAAGAAGCTAAACATCTGAAATTGACTAAAACTTTAAAACCACTCCTACTTGGAGTAATTTTCAAAGCTACGTGGGCTTCAAAGTCAAGCAGATGTGGCTACAAATGGCCTTTGCCATTTATGAAATGTGTCAAAGAGCAACATTCTTTAGCTTAGATGTGTCAGGAAGGGCTTCTTAGAGGAGTCAGGATTTGAGATGCGCCTTAAAGGATAAGCAGGGCTGGGTTTAAAGTGGCTGCAAGATGGATAATGGAAGCAGTGTAAGTGAAAATTGAAAAGCAAGGAAGAATTTGCCCTGGGTCTATTTGGGAGAGGGCTCATAACAACGTTCAGACCAAGTCTTCATGTACCTGCGAAGCACACTGCTCAGCGCAGAGCTTCCCCACTGCAGAAATAAGGACACTGAGACCTAAGAGAGCTATGTAAGTTGGAGATAATTATTTAATTGCTCAGTAACTTGATGTACAGAATTTAAGAGGTGGGGGTGGTACAGATAAAGAAAAGGAAAACAAAACAAAACAAAACAAAACAAAAAATCCCAACACCTGACTTGATCAAAATAAATACCTGAAAGGCCAGAGCTCTGGACCCATGGGGTCAGCATCTTTCTATCTAACATGCAGGAAATGAACTAGATGAGCTCTAAGTCCTTCCCTGCGTAAATTTAAAAATATTCTATCATTTTTTCAGGACCAGCAGTTAGCGTAATGGCTACATCGCTGGACTCCCAAGTAATTGACCGTGGTTCAAGTCCCGGACCCAGTGGCTTAAACTTAATACCGGATGCGTGTGCATGCATGCCCAAGATTCCAAGAGGAAAACAGAGGAGAAGAGATTGCAGCATGGCCATCCCCCTGGGGGTGATTTCTCACTTTCTGTCTCTCTCTCTCTGTCTTTCTGGCAAGCTCATGTGCCCTATAGCAAAAACCTCTCATATATATAGTCTATCATTTTATACATTTAAGACGTAAGATGATTAAACTAGCACTGGCCAAAATGGAAAGCAGCATGCACCAGAATCCCCACACAATGGCCAGTTTAAAGCAATTCATTTAACCCAGCAAATGACTTCATTTAAAGTAGTCCAAAAGTCTAATTTACCTGAAAGGTATCTTTGCTCAGATCTTTGGGACTAAATCAAATATTTGGTTCAATCTAAATCATTAAAATAGTACCAAATCTTTAACAATGACGGCAGAAACAGAGTCCCAAATTATAAGAACACAAACAGTTCAAAAGCCCCAGTGGAAGATTGACTGCCAGTATGTAAACTTCTCAGTCAGGCAACCCACAGTTGAACACTCATTTCCTGTAACCCCAGTAAAACCCCAACCTCAACAACACAAAAACCATCTTTGGAATTAAGACATAGGTGGAAAAATTAAACAGAAATTTTCGAATTGAATAGTAAGGCTGTCACTTAGTGAAAAACAATGAATATGAAGAGAAAAGTTAAAACATTCTTTAGAAATCAGACTCACCAAGAAAAATATCAACAAATAGGAAACTATAAGCCACACCTGAAATTTACCCAGTACTAAAAGTTCCCTTCAATGATTATATTTTCAAGACCAAAATCAAAGCAAAATAAGCAGAATAATACAAAAACTTTGGCCCCACTGAAACTCTAAATATTGATGCTAAATTTTATCAGAAAGTAAGAAAAAAATTAACGTAGCTATTAATATTAAACCAAAGTATAAAATCAAAAATGTTTACTTTAATATACTTTGAGTAGAGAAGTAAGGTTAGGAGAGTACTCAAAATTTAACAATTTTTTAAAAACAGATTTATTGACCAAGTCAAAAAAAAAATATTAACAGTATTCCCCAGAAAACCTGATGCTTTTCCCTCCACACCCAAAGAGGAAGAGACCTGCTACTGCAAGGTTTAGTGTAATCAAACAGCAGGATCAAAAACATTCACCCAAGAGGGAAAGGGGATCAGATCTAAAACACAGCCACTGTGAGTTTTTTTAGACCTCTAATGATCTCGAACATGGTGAGGTCTACTCTCAGGCTTAAGTTTACTCATAATTCCATGTACAACTGTAGAATGGAAGCTGAAGCTAAAAGCAGACATGGAGAAGGGAAGGAACTTAGGATTTTTAAATGAAAAGCAGGCTAAGTGTTCACAGGAATGTGGTACAGCCAGCACTCAAAGACTGGGGTGATCGTAGAGGACAGAAGTTAAGAAGGGGGAGCTGCTCCTGTGAAATCACGCTGGAATAGTACACAATGGGACAGATCATATTAGAGGAACAATAGGATTGAGGGAAGAAAACTGAGAGGAATATGCTGTAAGTAAAAAGGACAGCACCAGTGTGATCGGGGTATGAGGGTGAGTCTAAATTGTGGTTTCACACTTATTAGCTATGTGAAACTGTGGGAAGTAACAACCTTTTTTTTTTAGATTTATTTTTTATTTATTCATTCATTTATTTATTTTAATTTGACCAGGGTG